CGTGGCCGCCAGCAGCAGCAGCAGCAGTTGCTGCTGCTGCTGCTGCTGCTGCGAGGCTGGGGCGTGGACACTTACCCGGGCTCGCACTCAATGGGCTCTGCTGCTGCAGCAGGACAGCTAGAGCCGGCGGGGCAGAGCTGCTGGGCCTTGTCCTAAGAAAAAGGAGACAAACAGCAGCAGCAGCAGCAGCAGCGTGGGGCCCCCGGGGCCCCCTGCAGCAGAAGTGCTGCTGCAGCGGTCGTGGAGAGGTCGTTTTTGCTGCTGCCGGGACGCTGCTGCGGGCGCTTTTGCTGCTGCTTGCTGCCGGCCTGCAGCAGAGTCTCCTCTGCTGCTGCTTGCTGCTGAAGAAGCAGCAGCAAAAGCCTCACCGTCGAGCCCTCGGGACAGTAAAATCCCTCCAAACAGTCTCCACTTATTCTTTGCTGCCCGGGGCCCTCGCAGAAGCTTCCCTGGGGACAAGCCCCGCATGCGCTTTCCTCCCGCGCAGACTGGTACTCCCGCAGAGTCCCTGCAAAGCACCCGCAGCTAGCTAGCTAGCTAGCTAGCTAGCTGGCTAACTGGCTAGCTGGCTGGCTAGCTGGTCAGCTAGCTAGCTGGCTCGCTGGCTAGTTGGTTGGGTCGCTAGTCCGTTAGCTGGCTAGCTGGTTAGCTGGCTAGCTGGTTAGCTAGCTAGCTGGTTAGCTAGCTAGCTGGCTAGCTGGTTAGCTAGCTAGCTAGCTAGCTAGCTAGCTAGCTAGCTAGCTAGCTGGCCTCTTCGTGCCGCTGGAGCTGTTGAGTCTGCAGGGCGAGGCAGCTAGCTGTGTGTAGCTAGCTGTCCCTGGGGACTGGGCCTTTGAAGCAAAGGGGCCCTGCGCGAGTCTCCTTTTGGGTAGCTAGCTAGCTAGCTAGCTAGTTAGCTAGCCACCTGGCTAGCTAGCTAGCTAGCTAGCTAGCTAGCTGAGCTCACCTTTGGGGCAGAAGAGGGGCTCCGAGGAGCCTGCGGGGCAGTAATGGCCTGCGCGAAGGAGACAGCAAGGAGACAGTCGCGGTGCCTCTACCACTGCCGCTGCTGCTGCTGCCGCTGCTGCTGCTGCTGGTGCTGCTGCTGCTGCTGCTGCTGGTGCAGGGGCCCACCGGCTGGACAGAGGCCGCCTGGGCTGGCGGAGGGACAGAGTGGGGGGCCCCCCGAGGCCCCGGGGGCCCCCGAGGGACTGTCGGAGACAGCCATGTTTCCACAGTAGCTGCCTGCAGCACAAGTCCCCTGCGGCTGCTGCAGCTGTCCCCTCCCGCAGTACATGCCGGGGGGACAGGGCCTCGCGAAGCGGGAGGCCCTGGGGCAGAAGGCCCCCTGGGGACAGGGGGCCCCCCCCTTGGTGGGGGCCCCCGGGGCCCCCTCCGAGGCCCCCAGGGCCTCCTCCAGGCTTGCTGCTGCTGCGGGGGCCCCCGAAGTGGCCTCCGATATGCAGTAGAAGCCCCCCTCGCAGGCCTCCGGCGCTGCAGTCCCCGCAGCCTCGCAGAAGTGGCCTGCAGCAGCAGCAGCAGCAGCAGCAGCAGCAGCAGCAAACGCGCGCAGCTCCAGCAGCAGCAGAAACGGCAACGGCTGCAGCAACAGCAGCAGCAAACCCTGCCGCAGCAGAAGCACCAGCC